CACACACACACAAATGTTTTACAAAGCTTTTAGATGTTGTAGGAAGACTTAGCCAAATATTTAAAGAAAGCTAAGCAAATTTTTAAAAAATGCAGCAAGTTATTAATGCAAGGAAAAACAAAAAGTTGTGCAGGTAGGCATTAATCATAATAGTTTTGCTCAGGAGCATACTGTATGTACTCATGATAACAAAAGTGTTGAGTATATTCCACTATATTAAAAGAATATATAATGATATGTGAGTAATGAAAGGGGGAGATTGTATGAACCTAAAATCCTCATCTACCCAAATGCAAAGACAATTCCTAGTCTCGAAAATAACCAAGACAGAGAAGAATGGAGATTCTAGCCTGCTAATGGTGGCAAATACCTGAAGAAACAACTGGAAGAGTTGTCAGAGGCTTCCTCCAGAGAACAAAGTGCAGAGAGAGGAAAAGGAGGGTTTTCCTTTCTTTTAATACTATTTAGCCCTTTATACTATATGCATGCATTGCTCTGATAAAAATATACAATAAGCCTTAAAAAAAAGAAAAAAGAAATAAAATAATACATGTGGACTCTTTGGTTTTTAAGAGGTGTCAAAAAAATGTGAGTTCTCTTCTTTTATTCTTTTAAATCTTTTTCCAGTTTGACTTGCAATTTACAACAGCTCTGGTTGATGAGATGCCAGGTTGCTAGGTGGTGGGTAATGCTGGCCTTTGTGTTCTCCTGAGCTTTACCCATCCAGGCTGTAGACTTAGCTCCCAGGGGAAGCTGGGGGTTGTGGCTCACCAGTGGGGGTGGTGTTCCAGGACTCCCCTGGAAGGAAGGAAGGAGCCTGTGAGCTCTGGCCTCCTCAGCTCTGCCCATCCCCCCATACGTTGCAGGTCTCTGCTCTAGCCCCTGGAGACCCTACAGATTCACGGGGTCCTTGTTGCTGGCTCAAGTCCGATGATTCCAAAGTGACACCAAAGAATCAAGTTCCAATTCTAATTTAAAATACCAGATATATAGTCATTCCTTGTACAGGATCGTGAGGAGGAGTGGGATGCATGGGTTCAAATCCTGGGTCTGCCACTTATAAGGTGTGGGCTCAGGCAATCTCTCAGTTTCTTTGTGCCTCAGGTTCCTCATTTATAAAATAATAACTACTAAGACTGTTGAGAGCATCAAAGAGATAACACATGTAAAGTACTTAGAACCATACGAGGCTGAGTAAGAGCTTGTCTTTGTCCATTCAGGTTCCTGTAAGAGAACACCGCGGACTGAGCCGCTTGGAAACATAAAAATGAATTCCCCACTGTTCATTCTGGAGGCTACAAGTACAAGACCAAAGCACCAGCTGGTCTGGTGTCTGTTGAGAGTTCACTCCCTAGTTCATAGACAGCCACCTCACTATAACCTCACGAGGGAGAAGGGGTAGGGGAGCTTTTGTGAATCTCCTTTATGAGAGCACTGATTCATGAGGGCTTCACTGTCCTGACCTCATCAACCTCCAAAAGCCCCACTCCTGATGCCATCCCATGGGGAATCAGTTTTCAACCTATGACTTGGGGGCGTGGGAGGGGGGGTTGGGCAGAAACATCCAGTCCATAGCAGAGCTCCATTTTTAAAGATTGGCTGTTACTGCTCACTCGTTGACCCTGAATTATTTATAGAACAGGTTCCGCCACCTACTCCATGCTGTGCTCTGCAAGCATCAGGATGATTAACACACTCTTGGCTTTCTGGACTGCACCTCCAGGGGGAAAGGCAACCACTCAGACAGGCTGTTGTAGTTCAGTGGGTAGGAGCCAGGGGACAGTTGGGGAGCACAGGGAAGGAGACTTTACCCAGGATGGGGATGGAGAGTGTGTTACTGTGATTTCTAAAAAGAAATCTTATTTGGTATTAGTCTCATTTCTGACACACTGCTCCTAAAACTCTTGGAAATTCCTAAGTGAAGAGAGAAGCCAAAGTGCCTTCTCTTGCATTAATGAGGAAGCTTGGGGACCCCACTGAGGATGAGGGGGCTGATTGCCAGGGGAACCCACCTTAGGATTTGAGGGTTGGAACTTTCAGTCCCACCCCTGACCTCTGGGGAAGGGGGAAAGGCAGGAGATCGATTCAGTCACCAGTGGCCAATGATTTAATTAATCATGTCTATGTAACAAAGCCTCTTAGAAACCCTAAAGCAGAGAGTGGGCTCAGAGAGCTTAGAGGTGGGCGAACACCGCCACATACCACAAGGGCGACGTGCCCCAATTTCATGGGGACAAAACCTCCTGTGACCTCTTCCTACATATCTCTTCATCTGGCTATTGATTCATATCCTTTACTATCCTTTGTCACAAATCGATAACCTAGTAAATAAACAGGTTTCCTGAGTTCCGTGAGCCGCTCTAACAAATTAATTGAGGGGTCGTAGGACTGCTGATTTATAGCCCGTTGGTCAGGAGCACAGGTAATGACCTAGTCTTCCAGCTAGCATCTAAGATGCAGGGCAGTCTGATGGGACTGAGCTCTCACCCTGTGGGATGCTTTCTCTTTCCAGGCAGAGAGTGTAAGGATTGAGTTGACTCGTAGGACACTGTCCTCCATTGGTGTTCAGCATTGTTTGTTGGTGTTGGGAACCCACTGGTCCCCCCCCCGCCCCCACACAAACACCTGCATTGTGACTGGTGTCATTATCTTTGAAGAAAGGGTGAACATGGGCCTTTTAGGAGGCTTTAAAACAACCACAACACAAGCAGAGTAAACCTCCCATAGGTTTACTGGAGTCATTCACCAGGGGTGAGTGGTTTGATGTAAACTCTGAGTGTTCAACTTTGCATAGTTCTCACCAGGGAGGGCTACTGAGCAAAAAAGCAGGCAGTGCTGATCTAAACACTGTGCTGTTCCCAGGGGACAGAGGGGCTGGATCATGGAGTGAGAGAGTTTGGCCCCATCTTAAAACCTTAGCCTGGATCTTTTCATTCCCATTTCCCTTGGGATAAAAATGTCACCAATTGCAGTTCTCTGAGCCTTGTAGCAAGTATAAGAGGAAGAAATACTTGAGAGTCTGAAGAGGAGGAGACTCTTCTGTCTTATGAAATAAACTCAGCACCGTTTGACTGAGTTTCCTAGAGGAGGAGTAAAACGGATTCCCAATTTCAAGGAGCAGGAGAGCCAAAGATGCCACTGTGCTCAGTTAGCTCCCTGCGGCTCTGGGGGTGGGGGGCTTGGTGCTCTGAACTGGAGCCTACTATCTTTGGTGAAACCCCATTTCTCACTGTTTCCAAAGGCTGCATGGGGAGTGTGGAGGGCCTGAGCCCAGGACCCTGCTGCCCAGGGGTGACTGTCCTGTTCCACCTTTACCTGTCTTCAGTCAGCTCACTTCCCTGCATCTGGCTGGCACAAAGGAGGGAGATGATGCTTCCTGCATCTTTCCTGCGTGACCTTGGGAAAACTAGTTCATCTCTCCCAGCCCTGATTTTTTCTTTTAAAAGATGGGCTATGTCTTTTTTAAATTTTTTATTTATTTGTATTATTTATTTATTCTATTTTATTGAGAGAGTGTGTGTGCATGCACATGGGGTGGGGGGTGCAGGACAGGGGAAGGTCCAGCGAGAGAGGGAGAGAGAGAATCCTAAGCAGAACCCTCACACTGAGCACAGAGCCTAACTCCCGGTTTGATCTCACAGCCCTGAGATCATGACCTTAGCAGAAATCAAGAGTCAGACGCTTAGCCCACTGAGCCACCCAAGTGGCCCAAGATTAGCTGTGTCTTAATTGGAACTCTCTGTTGCAAAACCCCCCTAAAATTGTATTAGTTCCCTATTGCTGCTATCACAAATACCACAAACTTGGTGGCTGACCACATCACAGATTTATTATCTGACAGCTCTGGAGGTCAGAAGTCCTAAATTCAAGGTGTCAGGGTGTTGGCAGGACTGTGTTCCTTCTAAAAGCTCAAGGGATGGATCTGTTTTCTTGCCTTTTCTGGCTTCTAGAGGCTGCCTGTGTTCCCTTGGCTCCTGGCCTCTCCCTGCATCATCCAAGTCAACAGTGTAGCATGTAACATCTTCAAGTACCCCTCTCTTCCTCTCCCTCTCCCCTAGCACCCTCCCTACTTCTGCTCCCCTCCACCACTGCTTCCTTCTTCCATCAGCACCTCTCCTCTGACTGGCTGTCCTGCTTCCTTCCTATAAGGACCTCTGTGACTACATTAAGCCTGCCCAGATAATTTGGGATAAGCTCTCATTTCAGGTTCCTTAACTTATTCACACCTGTAAAACTCCCTTTACCAAGGAAAGTAACATATTCACAAGTTCCAGGGATCCCCACATGGATACCTTGGGACCATTATTATTTTGACTCCCAGAAACCAACTTGAGCTAGCTTAGGCAGTGAAGACATTTCTATTAAAGTTTACAAAGCTACTCATAGAAACAGTTTTGGGTGTTTGATATATGAGAGACTTTCAATAAATGAATGTCACATAAAAGGATGACTGACTGAATGAAATAATCATAAATGAAATAAGAGAAGAATAATAAGTGAACCAGAAGGCAGAGAGACAGCCCGTTCTGGGGACCAGACTAGACCAGAGACTGGAAAGACTATAGGGACCCCTCCTTCTGTCATTCCTGCCCTGCTCGTCACAGACAACTCTTTCCACCTCCCTGGTCTTGGAGCAGGTGTAAGATGGTCACCGCCCCTCCCCCGAGTGTATTAAATCTGGAGCCAACTAGTCAGTGTTTGTCTGTCTGTTACTTGCGCTCTTTCTCCCTGGCCTCCTAACCCCAAATTCCCAATGACTGGCTCAGCTTGGAACAGGAATCCACTCTGGCCTAATCAGCTATGGTTTGGAGTTAGGTTCACATGGTATAAAACGGCTGCTGTGGCCAAGCCATCACCAACATCTCAGGTCGTTCTCAGTAGCCCAATAAGCCCTCCACCAAGGAGTGGTGAATGCTCAGTGCACCCTGGTGCATAGAAGGAAATTGGCAGAGGGGACAGGTCCCCCCTCCGTGCCCGCTTTATCCCATTTTCATCCTCAGGCCACAGAGGAGCGCTTGAAGAAGGAATCCAGCCACAGCCTCCAGATCCAGCACCAGGCACACCGATTGGAGCTCCAGGCCTTGGAAGAAAAGGCCCAGCAGAAGCTTCAAGGGGAGCTGGAGAGGATGCAGACTCAACAGGCTCTACTGTTAGGTATACAGCCCCCTGCCCCTGGAAGGGTCTAGCTACCTGGCAGGGTCCACACGTGGAGACCAGGGGCAAGATGGGGCCCCCATGTTTGGGGGCACACAGGCCCGGGTGACTTTCCGGGCTCCGCCTCCAACTAACTGGGAGACCTAGGGTAGGGGTGGGGGGCGTCACAGTCAGTCTCAGTTTCCTTTTCTAGAAAATGGAGTCACTATTGTCCCTACCCATAAGGACGGTGTGTGGATGTGATGATATTAAATAGAAAGTTCCTAGCATATAACAGGAGCCTGGTGACTGTTCCAGCTGTCCAAAAGCAGGGCGTTCCTGTGAAACATTCCCTAAATCAAAATGGCGAAAAGCAAAGAAGCAATTACCATTCATTTAAATGAACACTCTGGAGCGTTCCCAGACCCCCAAAGTCACCTGTCTTAGGCTTTCCTGATACCACAGGACACATCTTGCGAACGGATGCGCACAGTAGCTGGAGACGAAGTCCAGACGCTCACGGACATAGCGCGGTGCGCCGAGATGCTGGGTGTGACTCCCGGGGAAGGCGCTGGGGGGCGCCACTCTCACGGCCCGAGGTGCGCGCTGCTTCCAGACCCGCTCCCTGCAAAACCAGCCAAGAACGTTATTTTCCCTTTTCGCCTTTTTATGTAAAGATGAAAGTCTTCGGATTTCTCTAGGGCAAAGAGGTTCTAATGTAGGTCTTTTTTAAAATCAAAGCGGTGTTAGGTGAACTTTGGAAAAGCGGAGGCATCCGTATTATTATCATCATCATCGTTATTCAATAAAAGCCAGATCTCTGAGCCTTCGTGACACATTCATGGGATCGCCTCAACCTCTCATTTCCATTCTGAAGTTTTCCGCAAATCTGGGGGACTTACGCCTCCAGGCTCCTGTCCTTTGCCTGCCCCCACATCATCTTCGGCCAGAAACTCACCTCCTCTTCAGACATCCAAAACCAGTCACAGGGAGCATTCTGGAAGTTACCAGAAGCAGTAAAGATCTCTGGAGCCAAATTGTTTGGGCTTGAAGCCCAGCTCCAACACTCACAAGCTGCCTGACTTTGGGCAAGTTACGTAACTGTTCTGTGCCTAAGTTGCTCATCTGTGAAATGGGAATAATAGCAACATCCAGCCGGTATGCAGTGAATGCTAGGCAGATGTTCACTGTTATCATCACTGAATATTCCCACATTGCATGGCTGGCCCTCGAAGCCTCATTCTGGTTTTGTAGATCATCTTTTCCCTCATTTTCTCCTTTATTCTCATCTTCCATCTCACTCTTAAGAGCAAGACAAATGCCTCTCCTTATTTCATGCCTAGCATTGGCCTTATTAAATATATATATATTTTTCAAACCCAGGCAGGGTTCTCCTTAAGAGAATTTTGGGAAAGAGCATTTTCTTTACCTCCATAAGTGATTACCATGTACCTGCTGCTTGTTGAGCTTTTTCATTAGACAGTGTGTCCTGCAGACTGTACGTCAGCACATCAGCTCTGCCCATTTCTGGAGGAAGTGCATTGGGGAGAGAGAGAGTCCCATTGAGTCCCCAGTTAACATCCAAGTGGGAAATGCTAGCGTTGGCATCATCTAAGGAAGATGGATTACACAAGATAAAACCCAGGCGGTACCATGTGTCTCAGATACAAGACAAGATTCACATCATGTTGAACACCCCTGGTGATTCCAGCACCCAACAGCAGTTGTCCCTACCGCCACTTCCCTTGTCCCTCTGATCCCACAGCAACCTGGTCCTGTCCTGGACAGAATATTCAGGAGAGAGCCTGGGTACATGCTAGGATTCTCAACATAGCCCCAGGAAGAAGGGGCTCTATGAACTCTCTTAGGATAATAGAAAGTGGTTGGCTTTGTGGGTGCTATGGGGGGGGGGCTATCATGACAAGATTATTAAATTAGACATTCCTGGTCCCAATTACTGTGATTCCACTGTCTGTGTGAAACACGTTTGACCTGCAGTGTAGTTCAGTGTGTGAGGGGTAAGGGAGTGTCCATCAGATTACCTGATCCACTGGGGTGGGGACCCAGCCATGCTGGATAGACAGGTGGATGGGTTGAAGGATGGAAGGGCAGGTGGTTATGTGGATGGATGAATGGATGGATGGATGGGCTGATGGACAGATGGGTAGGTGGATGTGTAGAGAGGTAGAGTGGTTGGACAGATGGTTGGATAGATGGGTAGAGGGAGGGAGGGAAGGAGCAGGGGAGAGAAGGGAATATATTACTGAAGAGGAAAAGGTAATAAATGAAACCACTCTAGTTATGCTTTACTAAAGGTTTTATTGAACATATTTTTGTGATAGAGGATTTCAAAATACTGAATTGGGTTTAGGCTTTTTAAAGAAAATAGGCTATAGAGATCACTATTAAAATCCTAGTGGGGAGGAAAGATAAATCAAGTAAATTTTTCAACATATCATCAGAATAACTCAGCTTTGTTATGTTTAATATACTATAACTTTCAGAGAAGCTTAGTAAGTTTATGGGAAATCTTTTTGCTACAGATATATTTTTATAATACCATTAATTTCCTCTTTAAACATCACGTGTTTATTTTACCAACATATGTTGAGCATGTGCTCTATACTAAGACATCTAAGTCTACAGGGTTATCTCATGGCTTATGGAATTCTTGGAACAATGTTTCAACAATCCTTTGCAGCAACAAATATAGAGTCCCAAAAAGTTCCTAACAGAAAAGGAAAATATCAAATTTACTAGCACTTGAAAATGATCTTGTCTTTAAAAAGTAATAGCTCTTCCTTCTCCAGAGTCCCTCAAGCAGGAGCTGTCAGAGCAGCGGGCCGCCTGCTCTGAGCACCAGAAGGACCTGGAGGCGCTGCAGGCTGAGCTGAGGTCTCTGGGCAGCTTGGGCAGGCGACAGGCAATCGCCCAGTGTCCAGGGGACAGCGAGGACCACACCATCCCTGCCGAGGTCAGCACCGCATTCTGCCCACACTGCACCCCTCTTGCAGTGACATCAGGGCTGCAGGGAGAAAGTCATAACGGAGAGGCTCCAGGGGGTCATCATTCACTTCTGGAATGGGGAAGATGCTTCTTCTACAGTCCTAGGAGATCCTGGATGGGTCTGCAGCCTCCCATTTTGAAAAGCAAAAAACAAGTTTTAAGCGCTGTGTGTCATTTTATATTCAGACACAATAGCATTTCAGAGTGGCATTGCAACATGGGCCCTAGAATCAGCCAGTCAGGATTACTCCTTCAGATCTGCAGAGGATGTCTCAGAATGCCTCCTCAGACAGTCTTCCTGCCTTAACCTCCCTGATTCCATCAATGGGAGCTGCCTTTTTTGTCACCGAAGTTCAACACCAACTCTCCTTGAACTTCCTAGTCAGACTTGGCCCCTCAGCCCCTTCCTTATACATCCATATTCCCACCTGGCCAGCAGTGCAGTGACATCCTAACAGCCCAGACTCTCTCCCCTGAAGCCCACCGTGTACCATACGGTGACAGGTATGCATCTATATAAAGCTTCAGTGACTCCCTTCTGCTATCAGAACGACTTCCAGATGCCTGGCGAGGAAAAGCCTTCACCCACTGGCCACACTTCTTACTTTCAGCCATATCTCCCTCTGCTCTGAACATGGGCCCAGCATCATGCCCCTGGGCCTTTGCATGTGCCCAATCCCTGTTTGGGACGCCTTCCTCCCTCCTCAGTGCCCAGCTCACCCTCTGGGCCAGGGGTCTCCCCTTTGATCTGAGTATATGTGCTGTCGAGGTTTGGCTCTGGGGACCTCCCTTCCACACCTGCGGCTTCACCCCTCTCTGAGCTCCCCCAGCACTTCCTGTTACAGTCCTGCCGCCCTCGTGTCTACTGTATGACCCAGTTAGGCAGCCGTCATATATATCATGGATGTTCTTTACGGTTGTTTTCAACCGGACCAGGAGTCTTTTGAGAACCAGGCCAGTCTGCCTCGTTTCATCTCCACCCCCACTCTCCACATGGGCGCACCACCAAGTCTGTGGGTACAAATGATTAGTTGGGGTCCCAGCCCTGCTGGAGGTCCCGGGAGCATGGGGATTCTTCACTCAAGATATTGTCAGTACTGAGCACCTGAAGATGATTTGTGTTTAATGAAGAATATTAAATGATGAATCACAGGGAGCTCTGCCCAGTCAGTAAAGTGTAGCAGAGGGAAGACAGATCATGTTCCAGTAAGTGTTCTAGATCTGTTGGAGCCAGCCATACATATGGAAGGGGGCAGGGGAATTGTGGGATTGTGACGTCTGTGATGACAACCTCCCTGGGTGCCGTGGATAAAACCCTGGGATCACTGGGTGGATGAGATGATACCTGGCTGCCCCCAGGTGCCCTCCCTCACCTTCACCTCATTGGAGGGAGGCTCCAAACCCTCTGGGAGGAAGGCCCCAGAGGAAAACTCACACAGAGAAGAAATATGGGCATATTAGCAAGGAGGAACAGCCCCAGGCAGCAGAACCGAAAGAGGGAAGGGACGGGTACCCCATACAAGGATGAATCCTTAAGTTGTCCCCCACTGCAGGTAACTGGTATCCCACCTGCTGGGATCTACTGAGGAGCTCTGTGAAATAATTATCCTCTCTGTCTGAACTAGGGACAGACAGGGATGCATTTATTCATCAGGCTCTCGCATTAGTCAAGGGTGGTCCCACAGGACCTTAACCAAGCTCCTCCAGGCTTTACATATCTGAGTGCCTGGTGCCCAGGAGCCCATGAGTGTCATGCACATGCAAGCCCCAAGGCAGGAAGCAGGAGGTGTAAGGCGTGGCCCGCAGATGCTCCCTGTGCCAAGCTGCTCAGTCCTCCTGCGAAATGAGCAAATGCAGAAGCCTTAAAGGCACGTTTGAGCGGCCTTGAAAACCCTAGCATTCACTAAGCAGGAGTTAACTCTGATCCCATTGAATTTGGACATAGATCTTCGAATTTCTATCTGAACCACTGGCATTCAGGCACCATTTCATTTAGCAAGCATTTATTTGGCACCTACTGGATGCCAGCCACGGAGCAGGCGCCAGAGGACTGGAAAACTGGAAGGGAGATGGTGCCTTCCCGGGCCAGCTGAGGAAACCAGGCGCGCTGCCCTGTGATCTCTCCACAGCCAGGATTCGGATTCGGTGATGGCAGAGAGTAGAAAGGAGAGGAGAGAGGAGAAAGCTGATCGCTTCTTCCCCGAAGCAGTGCTATTTCGGTAGGGAGGGCTCTGTGGGCAGAGAGAAGGCGAGGAGGTCTGAAAAACGGGCAGAGTGGTTGGCTGGTTTTGATTTAATCCACGTTCTTGGCTGACCGGCCTTATTAAGCTTCGTGAGGGCGGGATGTGGCCAGCTCTCAAAGCGGGAGAACCTGGAGCCTGGCGGCGAGTTCCTGAATCCGAAGCAGGAGGCTGGGCGGACCACTGGTTCCGGCTTTGCGCGGCACGTCTGGGGCCCTCTGCGCCTCGTCCGCCTTGGCGGCCCCTGAAAACACCTCTCCCGGGTCCTTTCTCCCCAGGACGGGGACGGCCTGGGCCAGGCCCGCTCTCCGGAGAGCGCCGCCGAGCCGGGTCCGAGCGAGGCGTGCGCCCTCTGGGAGGAGAACTCGCGGCTCAAGGACGCGGTGCAGCGGCTGCGGGCCGAGGTGGAGCAGCACCAGCAGGAGGCGCTGCAGCTCCGCGACCAGCGCAGGTGGGTCTCTCCAGGCCGGGAAGCTCTCCGCCCGGGAGCTCCCCGCTTGCCCTAGCTCCCACCACTGCGCCCACTGCTCCTTGGCGAGCCTCTGAGATCTAAGGCTTCCCGCCTCACCATCTCTGCAAAGGAAAGACTCCCTAATGCTAGCACGTCACTGATGTTACTCCAGACCCATGAAAAGTACTAGTGCTTTCGGCTCAACACTGCAGAGGATTTGCCCAGGAATAGAAAAGGGAATCCTACTTCCCTACAAACAAGGAATTTATGGAATCAGACCTGACCATACCAAAAGCATCTTCAAAACCAGCCTTAGGGAGACAGGGCGATGGAATAGTTCAAACGGTGCTGGGCGCTCTTTAACTAGCTGTGTGAGCTCCTGAGAGTCCACTAACTTTCCCCTAGACGGTGCCGTCGTCTGCAAATGGAGGTAAGACCACTAGCTTTCAGGGCTGTCGTGGAGTGCAGTGAAACATAAGCAAGATTTTGCACTGGCTCTGGCCTGGAGGAAGCCCTTGGTAAACAGTGGCGGTTACTGTTATTACCTAATCCAAGCTGGATAGCTTCTATCAGTTCTGAATTCACAGCTGTTTCACCCCGTTGCTGGAAAGTTTATAACTACAGATGGAATGCTCGGGTAGGAGGTGCTGAGAAGGGGTCCCACAGGCAGGGTTCTCATGGACCCCACAACTCAGAGCGCCCAGGTCTTCTTCCCAGTGTCCTGACTTCACATTCATATAACCACTCCCCCAGACTGTCTCCCCAACCCAGCCACCCCGTGGAGGGTGGAGAATCCCCAGTGCCCACGAGGTTCAGTCCCCAGAGCGCGGGCCAGCCTAGCTGAGCTCCCACCCACCTGCAGGCTGCTAGAGGAGGATCAGCAAGCCCAGCGGGCCCGGGAGGTGGAGAAGCTACGCCAGGAACACCGGAAGGAGATGCAGGCCATGGTGGCAGATTTCAGCAGCGCTCAAGCTCGGCTCCAGGCCCGGCTGGCTACCCTGGAAACTGAGTAAGTGAGGTCTGGGGCCCCAGGTTGCAAGGGGGTAGTCGATGTACATTTTATTAGGGTGACCAGCTCATCCCAGTGTGCCTGGGACTCCCCCAGTTTTGAAACTACAAGTCCCGAGTTCCAGGAAGCACCTCAGTCCTGGGTACATGCTGAGAGCTGGTCCCCCTCACTTTGGGAGCCTGCATTCTCTGTGTGCAGAGCACTGAGACTTTGTGATGAATGATCACTGCCTTATGGACTTGGTTTGACCCTCACACTGGGAAGAAATCAGAAGGATCAAGGCTACGTTTTTTATAACATTTGCCCCTTCTCACATGCCTCATCTCATTGAATCTTTAGAGTAGTCCTTGTTCACGATGGAAACTGTTACTCCCCCAGACAGACAACAGATAAAGGAACCAAGGGGCCTTGTGCATATTTGGATGCATTCACTGATTTATTCAACAGTTGTTTATTAAGAGCTTACTGTGTGCCCTGCCCTATTTAGGCTGGGAACTGGGCAAAGACTATGCTCTTACAGAGCTCACAAATTCTAGATGGGGATTCAGACAAGAAAGAAGCAAATAAACTTTTGACTCAGAGAAAGTTCTGGAAGAAAAACAGGATCTGTGTCTAGGGAGTGGCAGCGGTAGGCCAGGAAGGCCTGTCTAAGGAGGTGACACTTAAGCACAAGCAGGTGGGGGGACTGAGAGAGCCATTTAGAGGAAGAGCATTCCCAGCAGAGACAACAGCAAGTGCAAAGGCCCTGGGGCCTGCTTCATGTGCCTGAACAGCCAGGAATAAGTGAGAGGGTGAGTGGTAGGAATTGAGGTTGGTGGGGTAGTTGGGAGGGATGAAGGAGACCCTGCACTAAACAGGAAGGAGTTTGGATGTGTTCAGAATTCACTGGGAAGCCATTGCAAGACTTTGAGCAGGAGTGACATGGTCTGATTTATCTTTTAATGGGTCATTCTGGTTGCTGGGAGAAGGGGGGGGTAGTCAGGATTAGCAGCAGAGAGACCAGTTGGAAGGTGACAGGTGAAGCCACTTGTTTAAGGTCAAGCAGCACTGAGTGAATCTAAAAGTCACTGGTCTGACCCTTAGTTCATGCTCTTTAAAAATGTTCTCCACTGTCTCCAATACAAAGCAAATCATGAGAAATCCAGAGGGGAAGGTTTTATGAGCTACCACTTAGTGGGCACTTACCACATGCCAGCCTTCCAGTATCTCACGAAATCTTCACAACCACCCTGTTTCGTGCCCATCTTAAAGAAGAGAGAACCAAAGGTCACAGGGAAAGGCTACGGACAGGGTCACATAGCTAGAAAAAGTCAGAATAAGAATTAGATCCCAAGTCATCTCGCCCTAAAGTCCTGGCCTCTCATCAGCTACAGTCCATAAGTCACGAACAGCCATAACCCTCCCCCCACCATGCAGAGATTTATTTCTCTCCAGGTTCGTGTCCAAAGTGCTAGCTAGCTCTGTTCCAGCGGCCCCGAGGCTCCGCCTGAGAACCGGCGCATGCCGCGTTCCGTATCGGCCAGCAGATGGCGCCAGAGCCACGTCGGCATTAGCCCAACTGCGGCAGCAGCGGCGGAAGGGGTGGGCATTTGGCGGGGGATTGGAGGGCATTATTTTGCTGAGGCCTTTGTCCAGTGACATCCCTGGTTCTTGAAGCTTCACTGAGAGCAGCGTGTGTATCACACACAGGCCTTTGGTTCCTTGGCCCCGCAGTCTCTGGGTAAGGTCAGACTGGGAGTTGGGGTCCTGGTCTCCCCCCGGAGCTCTGCAGTCAATTCAGTGGGTGGCCCTGGGCAAGCTCCCAGGGCCTCAGTTTCCCCTTTCGTGAATAGAGAGATTAGCCTGCCAGGTTAAGCTCACAGCAACGTCCCCACCACGTCCACCTGTTTGTTGTTGGGTAATGACAGTAAGGAGACTAACTGCATGCCTGCTCCAAACAGACTGAAAGATTCCGGAGAGAAGACAGGGAAGGGGGCGTCCAGGCCAGAGGACGTTCAGCTCATAGGCCGTCTGCAGACCCGCCTGAAGGAGAGAGAGGAGATCATCAAGCAGCTCATGGTGAGGCTGTCGGGGCAACCAGGGGCTCTGCAGAGTTTTTCGGGAGAGCCATTCACTTCGCTTGGGGCCCTTCGATTTTAATCCTGATAACCCTAAAATCCCCTCCAGAAGATCCTTGATTCCTTTTGTCTATGATCTAAAAAACAAAACAAACAAAAAACATACGCCTGAAAAAAAAATACAGGAAAATAGATGCAGAAAAAGCACTCAAGTCCCACAACTTTTACCTGACATTGTTTTTTTTTTTTAACCTACAGAATTGGAAAAATCTAGAATGGCTTGCCTTCTGAATTTTAGCAAATCAAGCCAATTATTGTTTATTGATCTTCCTTTTGCAAAAATGACTACCTGTTTTGCAGCTAGCAAGCCACCCCCCTGGACTCTTAGTTTTCTCTCTCTGGTTCTGCATCCAACAAGCCACCAAAGCCTAAGGCTGTTTCTTTAGAATGCCCCTCCCTCCATCCACTCCTGCCCTGTCACAACCCACCCACCTCATATCCCTATCTCCCAATAGCTTCATCCATTCCTTTGGGCACTAACCCACCTCTCCCCGCTCTCTCGTCTGGTTGAGAGCTGTATCACCACAGCTGAACTGGTTAGGAATGCTTCCCCTGGCTTACATTCAGCTCTGGAGAGTGTGGGTCTTGACTCACTCCTGTCAGTGTAGCCCACTAGGGGGGACATCAGTCCAGCCACCTCCCCCCACCCCATCTCTGCCTCTACCACTTTAGTCCAAGCCCCTCTCACACACAGTGGAGAACCACTGGTCTCCCACTCGAACCTCCCCCACATGAACCAGAGCAATCTTAGGAAAGTATATCACATGATAGCACAGCTCTATTCAGCACTTCCCATGGCCTCCCATCTTCTGGGAGTAATACCTACATCTTATGGTGGCCTCAGGTCCTCCCACAAGTACAGCCATGTCTCTCAATTCTAACTCCCACTCCCATCCCTGACCATTCCCATCATATTAGTACACTGATGAGACCATCAGGAAAATTTCACCACTAACTGAAAATTAGATATTAAGGAATAGCTTGTTTGCTAAATGTGACAGAAGTATTGTGGTTAAGTTTGGGGTTTTTTTGTTTGTTTGTTTGTTTGTTTAAGAATCCTTATCTCTTAGAGATACATATTGATGTTTTTACAGATGAAATTATACAATGACTGGAATTTGCTTTAAGAATAATACAGCATGGGGTGCCTGGGTGGCTCAGTAGGTTAAAGCCTCTGCCTTTGGCTCAGGTCATGATCCCAGGGTCCCGGGATCGAGCCCCACATCTGGCTCTCTGCTTGGCAGGGAGCCTGCTTCCCTTCCTCTCTCTCTGCCTGCCTCTCTGCCTACTTGTGATCTCTGTCAAATAAATAAATAAAATCTTTAAAAATAATACAGCAGGAAAGAAAAAAGTGGATAATGATACACATAAACAATAGCCATATGGTGTTTGTAGCTGGAGTTTTCTTTCTTTATTATTAACTTTCTGCAGTAGACTCTTTTCAGATGCTAAGAGTACCTGGACATATATATATGTGTATAGTGTTTCAAATAAGCTTGCTCTTTCCTATACAAGAGAAGCTAGGGACTCAAAGGCCACAGAAGTAAAGTTGCTTTCTCAAAGCTTCCCTGGACAGAAGCTTGATTCCCGGTGACCCCTGCTGACCTCCCCTTCCCTCCCCTGGGCTTTCTTCTCCTTGTGCTGTGATCTGCCCTCACACAGCCATTTTTCTTCAGGTCAAATCCAGTGCTGTATAGTTAGGCTCATGTAGACTCAGTTGTATTGTTTTTCCAGGAGGAGAGAAGATTTCACTATGCAGCCTTCCCCAGTGCCATGTCCCACCGGAATAGGTCCTTCTCTTTCAATCCTCACCCAGGATATTTGACCCCTTCCATGAAGGTAAATTGGTTTCCTGGTTTCAAGCATCACACAATTCTGCTGGTTTTGTTTTCCTAAAGGTAACTGTAGCTTATTTGTCAGGGGGCTGGCATACATTCAGAGGGATATCCACTAAAAGTAAGACTCACAGGAAATAGTCCAAATTAGTAGCAAACAGTATTTGTATCTGGCTAGGTGGATTATGTGTACTTATAATTTTTAAAATTTTTATGGGTTTTTGTATTCTCCAAACTTCCTATAAGTAAACATGTCACTGTTAATAACGATTAAATCTGGGTGATAGGGAGGAGAGTAAAGAGTAGGCATCTCCCACTTCTTAATTTTTTATCCCTGTATGTTTTCACAAGTTGTTATAATGAAAATATTCACATCCAAGTCTCTCATCTGCTATCACGAAATCTTAAAAGTGCTAAAAAATATTTTTTAATAGTTCAAAGGACAATAAACCTGATGTGAGCTCATTTCTAATTTTTATATATGCCCCTCAGTGCAACAAGATCTAAGTTTCACTCCAGAAATACTAATACATTTGAGGACAATGGGCCCAGCCCCTGCTAGGGGTTTTAGATGGCCTTCTAAAGCCTAAAACATTTTTTTTTTTAATTATAACACATCTATCCCCAGAAGTTTCTGATAAGAAATTGTAAACCTATGTGTCTTAAAACATAAAGCAGACTGGAGGAGAAAATGCTTTAAAAAATAACATGTAAGGGGTCCCTGGGTGGCTCATTCAGTTGAGTATCTGCCTTCGGCTCAGGTCATGATCCCAGGGTCCTGGGACTGAGCCCGGTGTCTGGCTACCTGCTCAGCAGGGAGTCTGCTTCTCCCTCTGTCCTTCACCCTGCTTGTGCTCTCTTATGCACATTCTCTCTCTCAAGTAAATGAAATCTTAAAAAACAACAACAAACAAACAAACATGTAAGTATACAAATAAAATTATCGCCCCCTCTCCCATATAGTTTTGGCTGGGTGGGCCTTTTTGCTTTTACAATAATGCCTCTTTGGGGTAGCACTAAAAAGCCTTCCTTCCAATACAAATAGAAAAAGAAGATGGAGGAAGTGCCCAGCCGAGTGGTCAGTGTGCCAAACCTTGCCTCCTATGCAAAGAACTTTCTGAGTGGTGATCTGAGCTCCAGGATTAATGCTCCTCCAATAACTAAATCACCCAGCTTGGACCCAAACCCTGGCTCTGGTCAGCCTTACAAACCTCCCCAGTCTCTAGATGCGAAAACTGCCACAAGGTAAGGGCTGGGGCGGGAGGGGAAGCTGTGATTTCTAGTTTCCATTAATAGGAGGGGAATTTGGATTCCTTTCTGGCACCTCTTAAATATCTGGCATTTGGGCAGATATAAAGAATGGCAAAACAAGCCCTGTCTTGGACAAATTACAATCAAGCCAAAGGGTTATGTAAGAGGAAGGAAGTATGTCATTCTTTAGAAGAGGTACTATCTTGGTACCAAATTCCAGAAAGCCTTTTTCCATGGATTGGATAAGGGACACTCAGCTGGCTGTGTCACTGTGGCTAACACAGAAGAGGGACTCTCATCATCTGGCCCTGGGGTCTGGATTCAAATTCTGATCCTTCTTGTTCTTAGCTAGGTTGCCTTGGGCAGATTACTTGACCTCTCTGGATCTCCATTTCCTTACCTCTAAAATGAAGATAGTGGGCGCCTGGGTGGCTCAGTGGGTTAAGCCGCTGCCTTCAGCTCAGGTCATGATCTCAGGGTCCTGGGATCGAGTCCCGCATCGGGCTCTCTGCTCAGCGGGGAGCCTGCTTCCCTCTCTCTCTGCCTGCCTCTCTGTCTACTTGTGATCTCTCTGTGTCAAATAAATAAATAAAATCTTTAAAAAAATAAATAAATAAATAAATAAATAAATAAAATGAAGATAGTATAGCATCTCCCTCATCAAACTGATGTGGGACTAAAGGAATGAATCTGTGGGACATGCTTAGCACAAGACCTGGTAGAGAAAGTATATTTCCACTGTTATTATTAAGGTTATTTCTCAAGATTTACTGTATCATCTTGAAGTTGTAAGACCTCTTAATCTATGGGTTTGGGAGCTCATTCATGATGTTTTCAGATACCATCTTACTTTCCCAGAAACCCTTGCAACATGTTTCTTTTGGGAATGTGAATTTTCCCTTTATTAGTTCTCCCTCCTATCCAGTATTCCATTCAGAGGCAAAATTTTACATTCTGGGCTTTGAATTTTCCATTTCAGAAAGGGCTCCTTCTGAAAAGTTCCTTTTCCAAAGGCCCGCAACCCCATGGCTGCTTGGACAAATGGGGAGGCACAGCCCTTTATGAATATCGAGCTGGACGGAGCCTCTGGCAATCACCAAATGAGTCCAGCCCTTTTGTTTCACAGCTGGGGTAACTAAGGCCTGGACCCCTGAGCACAGCCCTCTCAAACGGCTAGAGCCAGCTCCTAACTCTGGTTTCATCTCAGTAGCACACACGTGTGTGTAAAGCTTCACAGATGTAGACAGAGACCATTCAGGCAGGTATACATCAGACTTTCTGGCCTACTGTCTCTTTTCAATTGATTAGGCTAATTCCACTGTCTTATGGAGATGCTAGAACATATTAGGTAGCTTTTAGAGAAGCCAGACATTGTAAGGCTGTGATGATTAACTATTTCATTCCCTTTTTTATGAGGTTTATAGTTTATTTGTGCCTGAAATAAACAAGGCTGCATGATATGCCTCACTAGTCTAAAGTAAAACTGGAGACTGTGTTTTCAAAATGGGAATTGGATGTTCTCTCTCCACCCCCACCTTTCACAACTTGCTTCCAGCTATGAATGTTGGCCAGTTACACTGTGCTGTCTTTCCAAGAGTAACGAAGCAGCTTTCTTTCCCTGAAAGATAGCGGGGTTTTAAGGTGTTTGCTGAATAATTTTCAAAACCATCTAGGAAACTGTTTGTTTGTTGGTGTGTTTCTAGGACACAAGATGGTGAAACAGCCCAACCCAAAGAAGTCCAGCAGAAACAGAGCTCTGCCCACCAGGAATGGTTTACCAAGTATTTTTCTTTCTGAACTGGTTCTTGGGATCCATCAGAAAGAGGACATTTGAGAAACATTTCTTTTAAAGCATCTGATTGAAGGAATGAACTAAACAACCAACCAACCAAATAACTTGCTTGTGATATGGTTTATATATATCGGCCAAAACAAATTTTGGCCTTAACATTTCATACTATTTCATTGTGACACCAGTGCTTAAAAAAAATTCTTGCCATTAAGGTAAGCCCCCTGCCCCAACATGTGTTATCAAAAGGCACCCTAGGAAAATATTAATGTTGCTGATAACATTCACATTGTATTTCTAGTACCCAGAAGGTTTCATTCCACTTTATGGAGTATCAGGCTTTGTGATTTCCATGGTCTGCTCTAAAAGTGGTTTCATTTTTCCTTAGAATGCTCGTCATCTCCACTTAAAAAGTATTTCTATGTAAATGACACAATTCCAAAATGCACATTCAACCTCAGTAGGAAGAAGAATAAAAGTTCAAGATACTCATGAAAGCCAATTAAAAAAACAAAATGAGGCAAAACTAGGAGTGGACTATATAGCCAGCCTTGGCATACCTGGATTGAATGCTTTGACTTCATAGCTCCAGGACAAGAAGACTACATGTAGACTACAGAGGGAATAACACCTACCTCAAAAGGGGCTTTACAAGAATTAAGCAAAATATTATGGGGAATGATACCAATCATGAATTGGAATTAACCACTGCCAGAATTTTTCCGTAAATAACTGAGCCTTGCCCCGTCACACATCTCAGTTTCAATGACTGTAGTTCCAATCTGGTCACTTGTCAAGGTTTCTAGAGTATTCTATGAAGTCAAAGATCTACTGAACTTGTGGTCTTTGGGCTTGGGCCCTTTGCCTCATGGTGCATTGCTTCTCCATTGCATGGATGCTCAGTACATTAAAGGGACTCAGGACTGGCCATTCACGGTGCTGACCTGTCAGTCCACACTGAATGGTCTGACCTTCTGACAGAGAAGTGCGATTTGACAAGACTCAATCCATTTGGGCAAAATATGTTCTCAGTCCTTTGGTGCTGGCCACAGGTGGCCATAAACAGTTGTTTATTCTATGCACTGTCAAACCTTTGCTCTTTGAATAAAACTTCAAACAACTGGGCAATAAAAATGGCTGTGACTTGTATTGTTTTCCCAAAGAAAGGTGAAATTAGATGAAGATGGAGCGTGGAAATAGGACGTTCACATTAACCTCAATTAGATCATCTTCAAATAAAAAGTAACTGCTTCCATACGTCATTCTGAGAGAAATCCAATTACAACTCACAATTTAATAAAGGTAAAATCACTAATCAAAACATGTGGCCCTATAATTTCTTAAATGACAATACTTGTTCCCAGACATGTAATATACCATGTTATTTTCAGTGTCACTTTTTCTTTAATGATTTTACTTATTTGAGAGAGAGGGAGAGAGTATGAGAGACCACAGGTTGGGGGGCAGCACAGAGGGAGAGGGAGAAGCAGCATCTCCACTGAGCAAGGAGCCCAACTCACAGGACCGAGTTCATGACCTGAGCTGAAGGCAGATGCTTAACCAAATGAGCCACCCAGGGCCCCCAATATCACATTTTTTTTTAGTTATCTTGTTTCCTGCTTAAGGTGAGCATTGTAGGATCATGCTTCCATTTTGTGTTCTAAAAACTGTATGGATAGCTCTGTTTATTGAAATATTTTTCCAACACTGCAACTTCTGATGACTAGCAAAGCAGGCTGCACCTTGTACAACTGTCTCGTTTAATTAATTCAGCAGGATACAAGCTGCAGGGACAGAGTTTTATTGAGACTCTACATCTGTCTGATTTCTTTCTTGGTGCAGCTGAGTGAAAGATGGTTAAATTTCTAGATTCTATCCTGCAGTGATTACATCTTTGTTAACCAAATCCGTGCATGCTTCTACCATTTATTTCTTTAGGACAAATTCCTTGAGTGGAGTGAAGTAAAGCATCAAAGGATACATGCTTAAGCTTTCTGTGATATATCAAGATTATCATCCAGAAAGTTTCTATCAAGTTTACACCTTCACCAGCAGTGACTAAAATCCTACCTCTCCATACCCTAGAAAACACTGACAAAGAAACTCAATCTGAGAGAGAAAACGTTCTTCCAGTTTTTGTGTACATAATCTGATTCCATCAGTCTCTCAAGAGTGGGTGGTCCAGACCTCGCAGTGATGGCTTGGGGAGAACAGTGGAGATGAAGAGAAATGAAATGATTCAGGATTGTGTCAGGGGGAGAATCACCAAGATTTGGTGATAAATCTTGGTGGGCCCTATTATGAAAGGAGGAAGGGCTAACACTGCTAGAGTGAAACTGTAAAGGAAGATTGCTGTAAAGGGTTTCTTAATTAGGGTGGAAAAGAATGAACTCACCCAAGCAATGGCTGCTATCGTGTACCTGAGCCCTTATCACCTGCTCTAGCATCGATATAACAGCCAACACAGTGGTTGCACTTGAGGTTACCTGGTCTTTATACTCATTCTCCAGGATCCATCTGGATTCCGCAAGGACGAGGTTGGCCAGATTAACAACCCTGAGGTCGTAGAACAAAAGTAAAAACAACTTTTAAAAGCTTTGTTTAATCTACACTGAGGGGTTGACCCCAACTGGATACCCCACACACGTGCACAGACAAGAATGAGTAATAAGTATCATGCGTAAAAGATAAATAATAAATGGTCAGTGTATATTCCGAGAGGAACAATGCCTACTTCTCATGAGGGGCTCAGAAACGGATATAAATCTCTAACCCCCAGGGAGAATCAAACAAGGTCAGCAAAGAGAGAGAAGTCCCATGTCCCTGGGTGGGGTGCAGCATCGAGGGCATGCAGAGGCTTCAGGGACCAGGTGGCATCCAGGCCAAACAACCATGAATGGATGGATATCAACCTTATGGAGGGAGGACCCTTCAAGGCTGAAGGAATCAAAACAAGTCAGGATACAGGGTGTAGAAGCACTGCCTGTTTAGAAAACAACAGAGCATTTGTTTTCAGTTAGGAGGTGTCCCCTAATAAGTGACTGTAAACACAGAGAAAGGAAAATCTCACCTAGGGAGCACCACACTCAATGCCCTTCTGTACTTCTCAAAGGCAGCTCAATAGCAAATCTCACTGGCCTCTGTAACCAACAACAGGGTAAAATGTGTTCCCAAATGCTGAGGCTCCCATGATTTTTGAGGATGGGGAGTTTGCTGAGGGTCATCCTGCAGCCCACTCCCCACCCAGAGGCCTCAGTCCCTTGGTATCAGTCACTCATTAGCAAGAACCATCCTTAGTGGAAAATTCAGCTACAAAAAACCAGAAACAAGAAAGACACAAGCAAACTCAAAATGAAGAGATGATTTTAACAAGCTTTAATGTTTCATACTGCATATATGCCTCAAGCGTCACACTGAAAACAAAGTCTGCCCCCTTACAGTGATTCATCACTGGAGAACCTAACAAAACTTAGCTTATTACTGCTCCTATTACACAACTCCACTCCAAAAAGTGGAAAAACACCACACAAAATATAAAGGTTAGTCCAAATAAAAGTCAACATCAACGTAAGGATCGTACCATATTATTACTATACTAACTTAGGATATTATAATCCTTTCAACCTATTTACAAAATATCCTCATTCTAAGAGCTCAGATGCATTACAAATATCACTGAATTAGATTCTTCTTCTTAAGGTAATTTAAAGTCTTGAAACATGCAAATTTACCTATTTTTCTGCACAACTACTGAGGGATAATTGTCATGAAAGGCCTACAAACAAAATCCTCACCTGATTCTTAGATCAGATCATACAAGCTAATCTAAAACTGGAAACACAAAGAGACTAAGTCGTACAAACAGAAAAAAGAACATGAAAAGGAAATCTGTAAGTGGCATCACACTAACAGTCTAAACTTTGCTACAGATGGGAAAATTTACTTGATTTACCAAAACTATATAGGCATTTTATAAAGTACTCAAAAAATAACGCTTATAAAAATAAGGGGAAAATTTTAGGTGAGATCATCAACAAAAATCATCTTATTCTTTGGCAAAGAGTTCTTCCAAAATGTCATGTCCATAAGAAGTGATGTCTGTCAAGACTGTGTTTAGGCTGACTCACACACCAGATCACCTTCAGATCAGCTCTGACTCAGGTTTGCTTCATTGGTGCAGGGATATTAGCTGATGCCTGCTCGAGGTAGGCCAAGGAGCCCTGAGGGATCTCGGCTGGCTTTTTGTGCTGCACGTTGATGTCTTCCAGCACCTGCTGCCAATGCCTCAGTTTGGTCAAGTGCTTCTGGACCAGAGCATCTTTCCGCTGTAACTCATTCCTTAGTTCGGAGACATCCTACAAACGAAGACAACGAAGTAAGAGTAAGCTCATGAAAAGTGAAAACAGTTCCTGATCTGGTAAGAGCTCTAAGAAGTAATTCAAAACAAGAGAATCAATTAAACCATTGTACATCTATTATCCTGCTTGGCTCCACTATCTATAAACAACCTGCAGCAGCTCCTCCAATGGAAGATGCCTGCCTAACACTAAGAGTTTTTACTTTTCGTTTTAATTTAGTAAGTAATACAGATGTTCCAATATTCTAAAGTACCAAAGGGCAGTCTCTTTCCCATCCCAGTCCTCAGGCACCCAATACCTCCATTCAAAGGCTACTGCTGAGATCTAAAACACTGAGAACCTGAAACATATGCGAACAACTGTTTAAAAAGAGTCCAAAACCACTGTTCTATCAGTTCAGGATAAAGTGTTAAAATCTCATATTCAAGAGTTTTTTAAATGAATACCAGCATTGTAATTCTTTATTAAGGCCTGACCTCAAACACACCTATGTTCCTAGTCAAGTGTTCAAATCAGGAAATGATCTGACACGATAAACTAAAAATATCATTTTACCCTTCATGTTCTCAATAGCTGGTATCAGTGAATAAAAAGAATGTTTTTAATTAACTGGAGAACTTACTTCAAAAGTCCCCAAAACAAGCATTTCAATTTAGTGTTTCTCATTAGGGGCATCACAGGTCTCTTGGGCAAGATGATTCTTCTCCCTTCCACAATACATTTGGCAGGCTTTGGCCCAATACACTAAATACCAATAAAGCCTCCCAGTCATCATGGCAACCTCAACACATTTCCAAATGCCCCCGTTCAAACAACTGAGATAAATGAAATCCTGAGTCTCAAGGAAGCTGGACAAAAACATTTAATTTTTGATTCTTTGAAGAAACTTGAGCCCTTCCTGCGTCTAAGGCAGCTGGGGATACACACACCCCAGCTTCTGTCCAAAATGAGCTTGTCATCTACATTAATGGCTTCTCTACCTTTTTCAAGCAGAACCTTTCCTGAAGGAAAAGTCTTTCATGAAAGCCAGAAAATTAAACTGCTCTGTTTGAGTCCATCTTTCCTCCACGACCCCCTGGCTCCACTACCTGCCCAGCTTGTCATCAACACTGACACCTAGCAACATTTGTATTCAATCTACAAAGCCCTATGATAACTCATGGGAAAAGGATATATATCTTATTTAAAGCACAGATGGAATCCTGACAACATGTGTTTTTCCTAAAAGTTAAGGAGAAATGTGAGTTCATACCTCTTTGATAACTTGCTCTGGTTTCTGGACAGATAATTGCAATCTTTTCTGTAGGAAAAAACATTCCGTCTGTCTTGCAATATCCAGAAATTTCTGGATACACTGATCAACACCTTATGAGAAAAAGGCCAAAATATTAAGAAAAACCCTAGACACGTGTTATCTCCCTCATAAATGAATAGTCAAAATATCAAAATGGCACCTTCCCACAGATGTAATCTGGAATTTTAATTCTGGTCACAGCAGTGATATTGACTCCCAACCCCCATGTATTAACCAACATTAAATAGCACATAATTTGTGCTTTTATGAGTTGAATGATACCTCAGTACAACACAAAAGTTCTTCTGAAGAGAGATAATCCAGAGATCCAGCAATTAGCATCATGACTTCCAGTTAAAATGTAACATGTAAAATATGGTACAAAAAAAGTCAGAAACACTGGTTGCCTCTGAGGCGAACTTGGGTGAAGTCAGGGAAGCACAAGAGACTTTTCTGTGTAACACCCTCAAAAAATAATCAAAACTTAAGTTTTTGAAAAAAGCAGTATGCATTGTTGGTTGTCACTGACCTATACCAAAATGGAAAGAAAGCTCATTTTAAGTGGTTCATTATGAGTGACATGTCAATTAATAAACTGAACAAAGAACCATCAGTATACAGAAATGACTGCATAAATCTTATTCCCTGGAAAAGTTCTCTTAGGATACAAACAGAACTGAAACACATCGAGTATATATTCAGTAATTAGGAAGCTTGCTGAAGGTAAGAACATGGTCTACAGAGTAAATTCTTACCAGTTCTAATTTCTTCCTGATCCGTGCCATTGACATAGTCCTGACTCACAAGAGAAGCAAAGCAAGCCTGTGTGACCCAAAAAAAATGTAAGAAAAAATATGTCATTCACATGTCAAAAATCTTACTTCAGAGTAAGAAATAACTTCTCTTGAAGTCATTCAATGAGCTGATAGAGTCCGGGTTTGCACATCAGCTGACAAGATATACTACTGCTGATGAAGAAACTTGGTACACTGAGTCCACCAGACCCTTAGAGGGAGACCTGCAAATGAGGCTGCTGGTATTTGCTAACACCACCACCTGGTCCCAACTCCTGCCACTCACCCCCTTTCTCGCAGTCCCATTCCACACCAGGACTGACACACAACAGGCTCCTTCACTGTTTGACAAACATTCATCAAGCACTTGCTATGTGGTACCACTGCATTAGCACTGATGGAGGAAAGAGAGAGAGATGGCCTCTGACTTTATGGGCCTGGTTTAGTGGTAAATCCTACAAAAGGCACCAGGGGCAGATCCACTGAGGAAGTGATACACAATTTGGAGGAGGGGACCTGGAAACCCAGAGAGAACATAAACAGCACATGGAGAAAAAGTCTTCTGTGGTCAGAGTAAGAGGAAACTGCAATGGAGCTGAGAGTTGAATATGCTGAGCTAGGAATATCACACTAAACCTTCTGGCTTCATCTCAGGATTGACAGGTAGCTACTAAAGGGTTTTAAGCATTAGGGCACTGGTATCTGCTCTGGCCATGACTTCTACAAGGCCAGTCTTTCAGCAAGCACTCATGACTGATAGCCACCTCACCTCAATGCTAAATGCTGCTCTAAAGTTTACCAAACCCTCTCCTTTATGGCTTGGCACCACTGAAAAGGCATCTCATCCTCTTCCCAGATAAATTTCAATGTCTTTTAATCAGTTACTTCCAAGTTTTTTAATGTACAGTCCCAGGTAAAAGCATTTTTCCCATGCAGCCCCAATAACACATTCATTAACAACCTATACTCACGCTCTAATCTGCTATTATACACAGTATAAAACTCACATGACTAGGACTTAAAAGGTGGAAAAGTAGCTGCAATTAAAAGTTATTTTATTTCCACACAATAATGGCTCATCTTCCACTCTAGAGACCACTGAAAGTCATCTTATTTTTAAGCACCTATTTTTACCTCTCCTTTGTCTACCACTCCCCATTTCCCTTGCTAGAGGGGTTAACTTCTTGGGTAGAACTCAGAATCTGGGTCATCCCTGTCTCCCTCACTCTCTCCAGCTTTTCTTTCCCCTCTAGTACCAAATTTCACACAGCAACCTTCACATAAGTCCATCTCATCTCCAAGACTCCATTAGTTTGGAGCCATCTGAGGGTAGAGCCCAACGGAAAGAACACAGAACGTAACAGTGTGACGTTACCTGTCCTAGATGAACCAGTATTAAGCACGCAGGAGTGCGGGGAAGAGCGCTCAGGGCTCAAAAAAGGATGGAAAAGGTACAACTGACTGGGAACCTAGACGGGTCTGAGGCTGGGGATAGGCAAACTTCAAGCTCACGTGCTTCCAGAAACAGAAAGTTTACATCTGTGCCAGCAGACCTGAGCAGAATGCCGGTCACCAATCAACGTGGAAACTAAAGCAAGTGACTTCCGTTCTCTGAGCCTGTTCCCCTATTCATAAGCCTGATGTGGGCATCGCTGAAAGAGACAACTGCCCAGGTGCAGCTTATGTTTCAGGAAAGAAGGTAGGCTGGGAACACAGACGCCCCACTCTCATCTTACCTCAAAAGAAGACTCCAACTCATCCACCAAAGTGCTGTTAGAAGTTCTCGGAGGGCCTGGCGCGGCCTGAAGAAGCGAAGCCTGGCCCCTGGAGTCCCCGGGGTGTCCAGGTGGCTGCCCGGAGAACATACCTCCTAGTGGAGCCGCCATTTCTGGAATGGCGCGAAAGAGGCACCCTGCGGCTGCGCAGGCTGGCGCGCGCGGCTCACGTGACAGCCCTAGTCATGTGACATCTAGGGCCTCCGCAGGCGTCCTTGGGGCTCCAGGGAAACCACAGGTTTGATAACCCTTGCTTTCTTCTTCTCTGCCGGTAGGCGGCCAGGCTTTTCTTTTATTTTTCCTAACTTAAGAATTAAAGACTCTAACAGGATTTGACACAGTTGTGGGGAGTGGAGAATCAGTAGCTACGGTGGAACTAGCCCTTTCCCCGGAGTCGGGATACTCCTGTGCCCAAGTCCCGCCTTTGCACTTGAGATTTGGAGTGACTTTGGCCAAGGATTTTTCTCTCTGGGCTCAGGTTAGCGTTTGGTAGGAGGGAGGCACCCATTCAGTCCACAGTAACTGAGCCCTTACAGTGCACCAGTGACTGATCTACTCACTGTGGATATAACGGGAACAAACTGGCAAAGTTGCCCCTAAGTTCTCTGTGCGGAGAGGCGGCTAACAGAAACACTACGTCTCTGTTCGCCTTAGATATTTATGGTTGCGTTAAAGCCACATATGCGGTCTTTCAGTAACTTCCTTTTAACATTTATCTTTTCAGAAGCTAAGGTTTCTTTTCCCATTATATTTAATTTTACAGTTATCCAGCACATTGAGCCTTCCGTGCCCTAGGCTCTATTTAATCTGGGGTTATAACAGTCACCCCCAAGTCTCTGTTGTCATGTTTACTGTTTTTGTGGGAGACAAACACACAAATATATATAGCAATATCTAGTGGAGATAAGTGATAAGAAGAAAAATGAAACCCAGTAAGCAAATGGCTAGTGATGGGTTTGAGATGGGTAGCTGTCCTCTCAAAGAGATCTGGGCTAGAATGACTAGAATGAAAATGTAACCAGAAAAGTTTTCTAGACAGAGTGGTCCTTGAAGAAAGAACCCGCCTGGCATAGTTAGGAACCACAGAAAGGGCAGTGGGGCTGGAGTGAGGGTGGCAGGGCAGTAGCAGCTAGAAAAAGCAAAGGCTCCCCTTTGCCCATCAGGTCCCAGATCAAAACTCATCTTCCCGTCAGTCTAAATTAGCCCACACTTCCAGCCACTTCACCATTTAATTTTCTTTATAGCACTTAATCATTACATGAAATTATGTGGTTCATTTGTCTTCATTAACAAAGTCACCTAACACACATGCACCAATAGGAAAGCAAGCTCCATGAGATCAGGGCCTGCCTGTCTTGATCACCTGTATTCTTAACACCCCAAACTGTCAGGCATAATTGTTGACCAAACAAAAATATAATGCTATAAGGAAACTAGTGGGCTCCAGCAGTTCTCAAACTGTTCTGGGTCTTAGGACCCTTTTACACTCCCAAAATATTGAGTACTACAAACACGTATGGATTGTGTTGGTATTTGTTCAATTAAAACTTGGAATATGTAAAATACCTACATATTAAAACTGAGAATTTAAATAATATATTTTAAAATAAGCCAGTTAATATTAGCATCAATATTTTAGTATTTCTCTTTTATAAAACCAAAAAAAGAGAAGAGTTGGGCTTACTTTACTTGTTTGCAAAAGTAGAAGACTGACACTTCTCACTCTTACATAGTCTTCAACCCCAGTGGCCATCTGGGACTCAAGGGAGCCTTGAGGCTGGGTGGTGATGCACATTTCCCACCCTGGATTTCTGGTGACCATGGGGCTGCTTCAGTTTTGGTTTCTTTACTTCAGCTACCTTTTAACGCTATTGTATTCTAAACCACTGCTGTTTTGGATTTGGTGCTTGCCATAGCCATGCCTGGTCCTCATGGATAGACATGGGTAATACCCATGGTTGAGCGTGGTTGAGAGGAGTCAAGGGTTTGTGTAATACCTGGCAGCCAAATGTACCTGCAATGATAACTAAATTTCATCTCAGTCAGATTAGATAAGCACATGAATCCAGGGCTAAGTCATGCCTTTTGGATCCCACATTCTGATAAACACAAGAGTTCTGTTGTTCCTCTGTTTCGCCTTCTGAGTCACTGAAAGAAATCTAATTCTAGTTTCCCTTCACGAGCCAGTGGTTCCACCTCTCCATCTTCCCTGACAAAAGAGCTCCTGGACATGGATACCCAGAGGAACCTGTTTACTCACTATTCCTGCCTGATTTTCTTTAATTCTAACAAATAAAACAGATATGCATGCCCATATCCATTCCCTTTCTATAATCCACTTGAGACATAACATCCTCTTTCATGTCAAATTTCTAAAATATTAAAAATTGGGGCACCTGGTTGGCTTTGTCGGTTATGTGTCTAACTCTTGATTTTGTCTCAAGTTGTGATCTCAGGGTTGTGAGATTAAGCCCTACATCAGGCTCTATGCTCAGAGGGGGAGTCTGCTTGAGATTGTGATTTTCTCTTTGACCCTCTGCCCCACCACCACACACACATTCTAAAATAAACATACCTTTTAAAAATAATAAAATATTAAAATTAACTCCAATAAACAGGTTTCTTATCAAATGCTTAGTCCTAAAAAAAGAAAAAAGTAGAGGGATCCCATTCATGGGTAATTTGTTCACCTAGATACAAAAGAAAAGAGGAGAGCTTTGTCCTAAATCTGCACAAGTACAATTTTTTGACTGGTTGTAGTACCAGGTGGTAAGCAAATATTTTACCCATGAACAGTCTCTTTTATTGGTCTTGTTCCTTAACTCAAATACATCCCACATCCACTCAAGTCACTGAACTGACAGAAGCATTACAATGTAACAATTAAGCCAGCTGTGGAGGCAGGCTCCCTCCTGTTTAAATCTCTGTTCTCCCACTTAGTAGCTTGGTGACATTTTTTTTTTTTTTCAGTGTTCCAAGATTCATTGTTTATGCACCACACCCAGTGCTCCATGCAATACGTGCCCTCCTTAATATTCACCATCGGGTTCACCCATCTCTCCATGCCCCCTCCCTTCCAAAACCCTTAGTTTGTTTCTCAGAATCCACAGTCTCTCGTGCTTTGTCTCCCCCTCTGATTTCCCCCAATTCACTTTTCCTTTCCTTCTCCTAATGTCCTCCATGTTGACATTTTTGACATATTCTTACCCCTCCCTCTCTCTGGTGACTATTTTCCTCATCTGTAACATGGGGATAATAGCACCTACCTCATCAACTGATAAAATCATTGCTGAGTGCCCTAAAGTGATTATTAACATTGAGAAAATACTGTAACATCTTACTTAGTTCACATAACACAGCCAAAAAAGCTAGTTAGACTACTACTGAGTATACAGTAATACAGAATACCAGAGCCACACCAGAAAGCACAAAAAGTTGATTTATTATTTCTGACAATTGCATAGTAACCTTTAATTTATTCCTAGCATCACAAATCTAAAAGACACCTTTGCTCAATTAAAAACATATACTCTGAAAATTAACTAGGTAGTTTTTAAACATTTAATGATTTATAGAATATCTTAGAAATCTTTGCCAGGCTAGAGATTAGCTTTACCTTTATAAATCTCCACACAAAATCAACAAATCAAGGCAATCAAATTTTCTTTTGTTCAACATTTTTAAATACCACGCTTTGTTTCCTTTGAAAGATTTTCATCCATCCATTCAAAAATATTTTGAGGCTCAACTGCCCATTCAAGACAGAATGAGAGAATTTTAGAAAATCTGAACTAAGCACTGTTTTGACTGAACTGAAGCAAGAATTCTATCAGGGTCCTTGTGGGCCTCCCAGTCATGCCCTTCCGCAGATATGGAACCTCATCTTTGTTGGTCATCACACCTGCTATATCTAAATGTGCCCACTTAGGATGAGTCACAAATTCTTTCAGGAATGCTGCAGCTGTACATGCTCCTGCAGACCTAAAGAGAAAGACAAAAATCATTTTTTAACCCCATGTAACGTTCACTGAACACTTCCATTAAGACTTTCTATTCTCACTAAGTAGCTTCTATGACCAGAAAGCAAAAGTCAAGTTTATGAGATTAAGAGCGTAACCCAAAACCACTTTCAGAATATTTATTTTCAGACATAGCTTTAAGCAATAAAGGATCAATTGTAGATTCCTCTTTCCCATAGTAATGAATTCACCTGTTTTTCATTTTTCTTTCCCTTATGATTTGTTTAAAATGACTTTTGGCCATAAAAACCTGCAAAATTTTGAGCACCAGATGGAAAATACCTTGAAAATTAAAGACATTTGAAATTAGGGCTTATGAGCACTGTATCAAAAGGAAATTGGCTACACTTTCTGTGAAAGGGCATAAAATTTAAAGTGGTCATTTTGGTAACCAGTGATTGTAAAAATGTACTTTTATAGCTCCTTTTACATACCTATATTTTCCAATGTTATTAACATCAGCAAGTTGGCAATCTACAACTTGTCTTGTATAATGTTCAAACAGAGGCATCCTCCAGACACGGTCCCCTGTTTCAATACTGGCCTGAAGCAGAAATAGTTACAATAGTTGGAGACTGCAAGAAGCAAGCTCTGGTTAAATTCACAGCACTAAAGTATTCAATGCTGGAAAGCCAGAACTGTTCTGACCTCCAAAACAGGGAACTATGCAAGCGGGTTCAGAAACATTTCAGTTAATCTAAAGATTTACTAAAGAATTATAAATGAAACCAGGGATATTATAAAACACTCCACAAATCTGTAGGGCATTTGCCAAAATCACCAATTCTTATGGATGACAATTTACAGTAAGATGGTATTCAGCAGTACATCGACTTTATGGGATTGATTATGGGGAAATGGCCTTTGTGATACTTGTCAGCTCAGAGTGCTAAGGAATACAAGTCTGAAACTGCATCACTGAAGACCAGAGCCCAAGACCAGGTGACCTTATGTATTCGCATTATCATACACACACTCATTAACATCAATCAGTTACTGAATCTTGACAGAGCACCACTAGGTGTTGGGGCTACACAGAAATTTAATATCTGAGCCATCAGAAGGCCCAGAGGCTGGTAAAGGAAACAGATACACAGACTGTTTTAATATACTGTGGTCAG